ACAAAAACGCACATTCTAATAAAAATATCTAAAATCAAACAGTATATGTAAATTTAATTTTAAAGGACAATTCAATTTCCATATTTTTACTTGAATGTGAAAAACTGTGCATTAAGTGGTATCATTTGTACTGTAAAAGTTAAATGACCAAAATATAGGACAGAAGTGAGTTTTTGAAAAATAAATCTATCTAAAGGACAGCTTTCTGAAATAAAGGACTGTCCTTTATAATGAAGGATATATGGTAACTGTACCTAAGAGCCCAAAAATCTGTGTAGTCCAGCTTCTCAGTTCCCAGGCTAACCAGGTGCCTTTGGGGAGTCAGCAAGGGGGAACTAATGGCATTAGATGTTTCTCTTCCACCTTCCCCCAAGCAATTGATGTTCACAGTTATGCTGCCTTTGAACATAGAGCTTCATTTGGCTTTCATGACCAATACCCAGTTACAATATAGAGCCTTTTGTAAAAATGATTTAAACTTGTGGCCTTCAACACATCTTGAAGCTTAGGTAAGAGGTTTTAAATAATCTTAAAGCATCCTAAAGTAATTCTAGCTTCTGTCTACTGTCTTCCCTTTTTGAAGTAATACTTTATGATTTTTTTGTTTATTTTTCAGTTTATATGTGACCATCTTGGATCTTCTGGGCATAAGTGTTGAATTCATTTCAATTTTTTAAAGCTCTGCAGCAACTGTACAAAGCTTGCTTTATATACCAGAACCTGGGCATCAAATCAACCTATTAGCACATCATGTAAATAGCTATGCTAGATCCTTCCTTATAATAGCCTAACGCTAGTTTTCCATGGGCAGTTACCTCACTGTCAGTCTGGCTGACAAAATGGTTATATATACACAGCCTATACAGTCCTCTCAAAAGGCACCTTCCTGCAAGTGTTCCTGCAAGTTTAGAGAGAAGTGTCTCCTCTCCCATCCCACTTCCTGTCTGGGTTGGGATCTGAACTTAGATTTGACCCTGACTGATTGATTAATTGTGTGCCATCAAAGTTGTTTTCAACTCCTAGCAACCACATATAGATTTTCTCCACGATGATCTATCTTTAACCTGTTCTTTCAGGTCTTCAACGGTGCAGTCATTGCCACTGTAACTGAATCCATCCACCTTGCTGCTAACATCCTCTTCTTTTCCTTCCTCCCACATTTCCCAGCCTTAGAGCCTTTTCCAGAGAGCTGGGTCTTCGCATAAAGTGTCCAAAATAGGATAATTTGAGCCTGGCCATTTGTACCTCTAGTGAGAACTCTGGGTTTATTTGTTTGACGATCCATCAGTTTGTTTTCTTGGCTGTCCACAGTATTCTCAGGAGTCTTCTCCAACACCAA